TCAAGTACCCACTACCAAGCAGGTTGCTATTACTTAGCCTTCACATATAGACCTCCTGACGCTCTAGTTTGTGACATTTCAGAAATAGAATCAATACAAATTTAATGAATATTTGTATATAGAGGATAAGAGAGAGGGAGAAGAGTGTGTGAATATTTGTGCGAACGAGGGAGATAATTCTAATTAGATGATTTGCTAGAGTTTGATGCCATTTGCTGATAAATGATGCACGAGAGAGAGCCAGGTAAGGAATGGGGGAAGGAATGAGTTCTGTTTGGCTCATATTGAGATTAAGATGTCTGAGAGATTATGGGTGGAGATGTCCCTCAAGGGTAGATAAAATAGTGAACTTTTTATTCAAGGACACTAAGCAGAGAGATTTGATTTGTTCTCCAAACTACTGCCGGTTATTTTTCTAAATTGCCAATTTGATCTCCTCACTCTAGTTCCATGATTTATTACTGCCTTCAAGTTTAAGCCAGAAACCTTATCACAACTCTAAAGATTCTGTCAACGTTTGAAATATAGAACTCAGGAGACGCCACAATTAGATTTCAGATTTGTGAGTTGTCTGGATATAAGTGCTATTTAACGTCATGGGAATAATGAAGATATCCCAAGGAGGGAATATGGAGAGCAAGAAAAAGAAGAGGTGCTTCTTGGAAGAAAAACAGACTTCTAAAGAACACACCACCATTAGAAGACAGAGAACAAAGGCATTGTTTGGTAAACTGGGGGTGGGGGGGAACCCACAGAATAGCTATCATTGAAGCTAATGAGCGAAAGTTTCAAAGAGGAGGTGGTCAACACTGCAAAACAGTGAGATGATGGAGAGGAAAACAACTCTGAAATTACACTGGACTTGGTATTTAGAAAGTCATTGGTGACATCGGTTGGAGAATTTTCTGAGTCGTTAGAGAAAGAACCCAGATTATTGCTCAGGGTAGAGGAATAATAAACAAAAGCAGACTGTTCTTCAGAGAACATTTTTTTTTTTTGTCATTATAAAAGATATGACATGGGGCCGGCCCCATGGCTTAGCAGTTAAGTGCGCGTGCTCCACTACTGGTGGCCCGGGTTCGGATCCAGGGCGCGCACCAACGCACTGCTTATCCGGCCATGCTGAGGCGGCATCCCACGTACAGCAACTAAGGATGTGCACCTATGACATTCAACTATCTACTGGGGCTTTGGGGAGAAAAAGGGAAAAAAGGGAGTAGGATTGGCAATAGATGTTAGCTCAGGGCCAGTCTTTCTCAGCAAAAAGAGGAAGATTGGCATGGATGTTAGCTCAGGGCTGATCTTCCTCACAAAAAGTAAATAAATAAAAAAATTAAAAAAAAAGATATGGCAGGGAATTGAGAGAGAAAGAGGGTTTATGTCTTATTTCCCTCACTAGCTAAGCACAGTGGCCAATTATGACAGATGTTCAATATATCTTGGTTGAATGTGTTGAAAATATCTATATAAAAGTGTGGGAGGCTTTCATTAATGTGTTGGGGTAAAACTTGAGTATTATAGAATGCAGAAAGTGATCCATTGGTATTAAATAGGATATTAAAGAAAGAAAGGAATTTTGTTGAAGTTAAATTAGAAGAGATGGAGAATAATTTGTTTACTTATTCATAAAAATATTTGGAAATCCCTGGCTCTTGATGCTCTGTAGATAAAATCTAAGTTTCCTATCCTTTCCATGGAATTCAAGATTTTTATGTCCTGGCCTTCACTGATTTCTCTAGCTTCACATTTAAGGCTCCAGCATGTAAGTTTTCTTGTAGTTATTCAACAAACTGTCTTGTGTTATCATTTCATTCAGGCTCAGCTCATGTTATCTATGTCAAGAACATCCCTTTCATGCTTTTCATCCTTGTGAACTCGCACCCACTCATCAAAACTTTACACAGTAATAATCTACTCTGTTAAGTAATCTTCATCTATTCTGTTAAGATTTCTTGGAACTAATCCCATTTGACATGCACACAGACACATTCACGTACACACACACTCAGAATCTGTCACTCCACACTATCTCTGTCTTGTCTCTGAGAAACGTCTAGTCCTTGGGCACTCCACAACTAGTGGTGTTTCTTTGTCTCTACCTCCTCTGATATTCACTGTGCCTAATACAGTGCCTGGTATGTAGTAGATATTCAAAACTGGTAATGTTTCATTTTTCATTTTCATAAGAGTCATTGGGCTCTTGTTAAAGATAAGGTATTTAGGCTTATAAAGATTCAGCTTCTGACAATCTCTCTTGTTTTCTCAGGCACTAAACCACTATTATTTTGCTTGCTTCATATCCTTAGTGCTGACACAATACACAATGAGCTCCTAGTATATGTTTGATACTGAAATGAACTAAGTGTTTATGATGGATGATCAAGAGCTTAGGTGAAGTAATAACTATGAAATGGAATAAGGAATTCTCTGTGTCTGAGCCCAGCATGGATGAAGAGAGGGTACAGGAAGATATGGTTGTAGAGCGATGGAAAGGAAGGAATTTGAAGGAGTTCTTTTCTACCAGGCTCAGCACAGATCAGTTTAACCTATACTGTGTTTTTCTTCTGATCTCTCAGCAAGAAAGGAAAGGAAAAAAACTGACAATAAGAATGAAAATGAGCAATGAATAAAATGTTTGAGTTAATGTAATAATGTGAAGGGAGCCATGAAGAAGTTAGGGTGAAAGAGAAATTGTTCAGATAGCAATTCATTTAAAAAAGAAAAACATAAAATTTCCTAGAACTCAATGGCAAAAATTACAACTCAATCACTGCACCGTGATAATCATTGTGAAAATCACCATGATAGCCAGAATTAATCAGCATATATGGAGGCCCTCTGCACTCCCATAGCCATTTGTATTATTCATCATTGTACACTAGATATTGAAGTTATTTATAAACACTACTATTCTTTCTCCCTCATTTGATTATAAGCTCTTTAAGAGAGGTTTGTTTGTGATATGTCTTAGCTTCTAACACCACTGTGCACAAAGTAGGTACTCAGTAAGTGTCTATAAGAGTGTAAGGCAGGAGCAAATGAAGAGATGCTACAAATTTATTATGGCTCAACACTTTCACATACACCATCCTAAAAACCTTGGCATACTTCATCTTGACTTGCATGAAACGCAGAAATCTTTCAAGCACTGATTTCCCTACAAAGCCTCTCCAAATACCCCAAACCTTTTGTACATAGAATTGAAGTGTTCTCCTTTTTCATAATTACTTTACCTCCCAGTAACCCCAGGAAACTGTTAACTTAAAAAAAACAAGTACCAAGTTCTGTGAATTAGTTATAAATAAACAGGTCAAAGACTTGTGGAAAATGAGAGGTGAACCTACTATTTTAAATTTTCTTAAGCACTAATCACTTAAATGCATTTTTAGCTTGTCCTTCTGATCAATACGTATTTTTTAAAACTAAGTATAATTACTAAAAATGTTTTTCAGAAATCAACCTATTTATGAAAACTGCTAATAGAATTTGTTAGCCTTTCACACTTTCACAATTAATTGTGAAATGCATGCCAGTCTAACAAGACTGTATCCACTTTGTTTCTATATTATAATGTCGGTTAAATTCATGACACTCAATAAACAGTCATTGGAAGTTGTGTCAAAAAAATATGTTCCCTTTCTTAATGAATGTTCCCTTTCTGTTAACTCTAATTTCCATTATGAGCTTTAATAATACATTTTTGATAGTAATTTCATTGGTTTCTGAGGACACTCTCATTACTCTAAACATGAGAGTCTAAAGTTATAGTTCACTTATTTTGTGAACTCATGTAATTTAACACTTCTTTTTTTCTCTAATTATCCATTAATTTCAATTTAAAATTTCCCAATCTTTAAAACTAAGAGATTTATTTAGGGAATTCTTGAGGTGGCACTTTATCCGGGTGAACTTGTGTGGTCTAGAAACACTTCAGCTCCCCTGAAAAACAGTTACCTTACAATTGGCTGTTCTCGCTGATTGAGCCCTCTCCAGACACAGCTCTACTCTCTCTTTTTCCCCAGACACCTTCTTCCAATGCATACAAACTCATCTGCCTAGTCTACAATTCTCTACTCAGTGAAAAAAGAAATAGGATATTTGTAATAAAGTTACATATTTCCCTCCAAAGCAAAACAGTAACATTCTATTAGGTATCTCCTGAGAAGTGTGTCTTAACAAAAAGGATAATGGAAAAAATCTGTTCTGCAGAACAACTAGTCTTCAGGCATATTGAAGAGAGAAATACAATTGAACATGGCAGCACATTATATCACGTGAAGGGCAGAGGCCTCTGCAGGTGATAGGTCTGTGTTCTAACTTTCTATCTCTCCCAAATACAATGCCTGTGTTGCATTGCAAGTATCACTTTAAAGGTTAGATAGAGTAGGCACATGCACATGATTGCATTGGTACCTAAGCCATTTATTATTACTTCATATGTGTTACTTTGTATTGTAAGTATCTCTTTCTCAGTATTTTCTGGCTTCCCAAATTGTCTGTAAGCTTCTCTGATTTCTATACTTATGGCCAACGTAATATTGCTGCTCTGTGGCCCCAATCTATTTTCCTCTGATGCCAACTATAGAGAAAAACTAGCCTGCTACTTCTTTATCACAATTAAAACATTCCAGAGAGAATGGAATATGATTGACCAATCTTGCGTAAGGTGTCTTTTCTTAGTCCAGTTATCTCTGGCTTAGAGGAGTAGGAGGAAAGATCACATAGTATAAAAATAGCTACCATCAAAGGGCCCCAGGGAAGATAACTCATGGGCTGCGGCAAATACAAAATACAAAAAAGGTACCTACCACAGTAATTGAAATCATACAATGCTTTTATCAATTTAAATGAGCCATTCATATTTACACAGTGTATAGATATTCATCTTTGGTTAGCTTTTGGTTGAGTAAAATGATCTGTAGTTGCATTAATAAAAAAATATATATAGTTTTTTTGTTGTTCCAGAGTTCCATCTTGGATTTCTGTATTTTCAATCCAGCATGTCCAACTTCCAGAATACCACATCCTCTTCCATCATTTTCCTGCTAACTGGTGTTCCTGGATTGGAAGTCTTTCAAACTTGGATCTCCATTCCCTTCTGCTTTCTCTATATAACTGCTCTCTCAGGAAACAGCCTGATTCTCTTTGCCATTGTCGCTCAGCCCAGCCTCCATGAACCCATGTATTATTTCCTCTCCATGTTGTCCACCACAGACCTTGGGCTGTCCATATCCACTCTGGTCACCATGTTGGGTATATTCTGGTTCAATGCTAGGGAGATCAGCTTTAATGCCTGCTTGTCACAGATGTTCTTTATTAAACTCTTCACTGTCATGGAATCCTCTGTGTTGTTGGCCATGGCTTTTGATCGTTTTGTGGCCATCTTTAATCCCCTCAGGTATGCCACCATTTTAACTGACTCCAGAATGGTTCAAATTGGAGTGGCAATTGTTATCAGGGGGACAATAACGCTGACTCCAATGGTAGCACTTCTTAAAAGACTGTCCTTCTGCCGCAGCCACATACTCCACCACTCCTACTGCTTCCACCCTGATGTGATGAAGCTCTCATGCACAGACACCAGGATCAACAGTGCAGTTGGGTTGACTGCCATGATCTCTACTGTTGGTGTGGACTCAATCCTCATCCTCTTTTCTTATATTTTGATCACTAAGACTGTCCTCAGTATTGCGTCTCCAGAAGAGAGGAAGAAAGCCTTCAGCACATGTATCTCCCATATTGGGGCTGTTGCTATTTTCTATATTCCATTGATCAGTCTGTCCTTTGTTCACAGATTCGGGAAACAGGCCCCAGCTTATGCACATACTATGATTGCTAACACCTACCTGCTGGTCCCTCCTGTAATGAACCCCATCATCTACAGTGTGAAGATAAAACAGATACGTAGAGCTATGATAAAAATTCTCCATTCCAAAAACACATAGAATCATAGAATTCTAGAGGTGGTCTATGTCAGGTCACGTTATCAATTAAAAAACAAAACTGGTGCTTGAAGCTACGTGTACAAAATTTAAAATTAAAGCTGGAATATATTTAGAATATCAGCTAAACTGATCCCTTTATTTTATAAATGAGGAGCTAGAGACATGGGAATGGGAAGAATGAACAGCTCTAAGACTAAAATTTCTCTTCCCCATCACTGTTTGCTCTAAACTGTTGTTTATCCTGCCAATAGCCTTTCTCTTCTTATTCATCCATTTCACAGCGGTTAAAAAGACATATTATGAAAAAATCACTCCTTTATGAAAAATAAGTAGTATTTTCTAACTGTAATAATAATTTTAACTAACTTTTATTTATTTAACCAGTCATTGACCAGTTCTAAATACTTTTTACATATATTAACACATTTTATATCCATAATAACATTATAAGGTAGTTACTTCCCTTATCAATGAGAAAATTGAACCCCAAAAATGTTAAGCAAATTGCTTAAACAGCTAGCTAGCGACAGAGCCATTTTTCACATCCATGCAAACTGACTCCAGCGTTCCCCTCATTCTTAACTTTAATGCTATATTGTTGCGTGTAATATAAATATATATGTATATGTATTTGGTATATACACATATTTATCGTTCCATGTGATTTGTACTGGGGGACATGAAGAAGTCAAACAAACCAAAAACACAACTCTGTCCTCCAGAAATTTTCAACTAAATTACTGAGGAAAAACCCAAAACAACATTTTCAAGCTTCTCAAATGCATTTCTACCTGATGTTCTTTCCCAACTAAGCATATTCCAGAATTTTTCTCTGCCCTCCATCAACTTTCTGCCCTAGCAAAAACTGAAAAGAGACTATGAATAGCAAGTGAATTACCATTTGTGTCATTTAATCAGAAATTTTTAAATTTGTGGCATATATTTCATGTAATGGCTTAATCTAGCAAGTTAATTATTTTTTCCAACCTGGATATATCCATTAATTCTCAGATTTTTAAAGCATATATTTCAACGACACATTGGTATCACTCAGTAAAGGTGGGGCCTATATCTGGTATCAGATCCATCAATAAAGTAGAAGTAGTCATTCTTATCTACAGGGAAATTTATTAAATGACTACAGTACTGGCTATTTTATAATAAGGATGATGTCAAAATCCTCAATGTGTTTGACAATAACATTTTCAGTCTCAATTATTGTTAGTCTTCATCTCCCTGATCTTTGTATGTTGGTATGTCCCAGGACTTTGTTCTCAGACTTGTTTTTTTCTTTTATATTCCCATTTTTGGTCATGTCATCTAGCATCATGGCTTTAAATACCACCTGTATGCTGACAAATCCCAAATTAATATTTATAGTCCAGACTCATATCCAACTGCCTATGTATCAGTATCTCCACTTGAATATCTAATAACCGTTCTAAACTCATCATGTCCAAAAACATATCCTAATATTTACATCAAGGAAAAAACAAGCCCAACCACAGTCTTCCATGACTCAGAAACTCTGCCTTTCAAGTTGCTGAGATAGAATGCCCGTCTGTCTCTCCCATTCCACATCAAACCTGTCGGCAAATGCTGATGACTCTTCCAGATATTAATGTCTGGAATTCAACTACTTTCTACCACCTCTACTGCCACCACCATGATTCAAGCCATCATCATCTTGGACCCAAAATATAATAGTCTCCTGGTGGATCTTCCTTCATCCACTTTTGCTTTACAGTCTATTTGCCCACAGTAGCTAGAGTGATTATTTTAATACACAAGACAGATCCCATCACTTACTCTGTTCAACGTTCCAGTGGCTTCTTGCCTTACCCAGGGAAAATTCACAGTCATTATAAGAGCTTACAAGGATCGATATGATCTAACTCTCCTCCATCATTTCAACTTCACCTCCTACTACTCTCCCCTTTATTCACTCTACCATACCCATACCAGCTTCCAAATATTCCCTTAAACTCACCCAGCATGCTTCAACATCAGACTTTGCGCTTGCTCTTCTCCCTACTTGGAATGGTCTTCCCCCAGATAGCCACGTGACTTACTGCCTCACTTCAAGCAGGTTTCTGTTTATGTGCTACCTTATTACAGGGCCCTTAACATTATTAAAAAAATAATAACAACAACACCTCTCTCTCATTCCTGTCTGCATTCACACTCTTCCTTACCTACTTTGTTTTTAATTTCTAGCACTTTCATCCCCGACCCCAAAATGTTACATATCTATTTATTTCTTTTACAGTTTCACCATTACAAATAAGGTCTTTGAGAATAAGGACTGTTTCATTTATGCTGTTTTCCAGACCCTAAAACAGGGCGTTCCACATAGTAAAAATAATAAAATTTTGGAATGACCTGACTCTATTTACTTCTCAAGTCTCACTGCTTCCCCTTTATACAATGCTCCAGGCACAAGAAACAACTTGCATTTCCTTAACCCTGATGGCTGTATCTCACTTTCAAGCCTTTGACAAGCTATTACCTCCATCTATAGCACCCTCATCCTCTCCCTTTGCCTGACTTAGAAGTGACTTTCCTTCAGAGACTTTTCCCTGACTTCTCAAGTCTGCCTTACGTCCTTTCCAGGTGTTCCTGCAGCACCTTGTGCTTCTTTCTCATGACGTCCCTTTTCAGACTCTACTGCAACTATTCTCCCCACGACAGACTCTGTGCCCACTTCTCAAGACCAGAGACTGTTTCTTACTCACTGTTGGAAATAAGCAAAAAAGTTCAGATGATGTAGGCCTACAGATTGGATTTTTGTTTGTTTGTTTCCATGCACTGTATAAGATGGGGTACAGAGAAAAGGAGGAGAGAAAAAGAGCAACTTGAGTTAGAGAAAAAGGTTGAGGGTACTCAGAGTCCTAAAAATGGGAAGGAGAAGAAGGAACCTTCCTCTCAAGAACCAGACAGCCAAGATGTTCACCCTACTTCTACAGATGTTTCTCCCCCTCCTTCCCTCTCCCACAGTAACATGAGAACAGCCCCACTGTCCAACAATCTTGGAAAATTATAAGCTTCCATCCCTTGGAGTGGGTAATTTGGACACTTTGGGAATGGGTGGTTTTCAGAGTAAATGTTGTCTCTGATGAAGGTGAGCAAGCTCACAATGAATTGGAGACTTTCCTAAAAGCCAGAGCAGTAGTAGACACATGGCCACTGTTGTAGCTACTTGAACTCAGAGCCCAAGTAAAAATCCTTAAATGTCCTGAAAGTCCTCTGAGGCCCTATATGATCCAGCTCCCATTACCTCTCTGACTCCATCTCTCTACATCTCTCTACTCCCTTGTTCTTTCTGCTCAGACACACTGGCCACCTTGTTGTTCTAAACCACCAGACACACTCCTTTCTCAGGAACTTTGTAGTTTCTGTTCCTTCTTCCTAGAGTGGTCTTCCTCAGATATCTCCACGGATATATTTCTCACTCTCTCAGGCTTCTCTTCAAATATTTCCTTACGTGAGGCCTTCCCTGGCAACTTCACTTAAAATTTCAACTGCCCCCTTGATATTTATCTGTTCCCTTCTTTGATTTATTTTTTCTCCTTAAGATGACTTAACATGCTATTTAGTTTTTCATGTTAACTCCATTTATTGTCTGTCTCCCTCACTAAAATGTATACTCTATGAGGGTGGGGATTTTTTCTGTCTATTTTTCTTGTTATATTTTAGACCCTTGATGAATATTTGTTGAATGTGAATGAATAGAGTCAGAATTCCTAGTTATCCAACCAATATTATCACTGATTAACCGTATAACCTAAGGCAAAGAACGTTTATCTCCTCTATCCTTTACCTGTAACACAGGTGCCATAAAGAGTGGCTTCCCTACTTCAAGGTCTATTTCATCAACTGAAAGAAAAGCTGGGAAAAGAAAAGCTGAAGAAGTGCATGCCCTCGTTTTGAATTATGGGACTACATTTTTGTGTACCCGTCTTAGTTTTTAAAATGTCTGTAAACTCCTAGAGCCCAAGGATATAACTATATACCCACATTGGCTGCTGTGTCTAGCAAAGTGGCTAATGAGGAAAAGCACTAACCAGCGTGGCTAACTGAGCTTAAGTTACTAGAAAGAGTGGAGATAGGCTGCTGAGAGCCCTACATGTGTGAGTGTGGAGCGATGGCAGAGGCAGTGGGCCCTTTGTGATTGCCTCCCCACAGACAGAAACACTGGAGAATGGGAGTGACACACAAGTGGACATGGAAATATTGTCTTCTGTCTACTAAGCCCCTGGGGCCTCAGTCCATGCTCCCACAGCCTGTTCCCATGGGCCCCTGGGAGGCATTATAAATAGGCCTGTGCCTGAAAGGGTGAGCCAGCTCTAGCTGCTCTCTCAGTAGGACTGCACTGTTTTCAAGTGAGTGCACCCTCACCTGAGGTTGGGCAGCCCAAACTCCTGCCATCCTAAGGGACCTTGAAGACCCCACGGACTACCTCATGGCAGGGCAGGGGGAGGCCATTGTGTCCCACCCACACCTTCATAGCCTGAGAAGAAATATCCCAGACCATTAGCTGACAGTCCAGAAAGGCAACTGAGAATGAATGCAACAGCCACATTCAGACTAAGAGAAGCTGAAATTGGATCTTTAGGCAGAAGGCCAGACAACATGGGAGGGAAACATGAGATCTTCTAGGATAGGTAACTAGGGAGATGAGATGGTGGCCCAAAGTCTTAGACTATGACCAGCAAAGCAGAAAAGATGCCCTGCGGAGAGAGGAGTCAGGAGAGTATCCTACTTTGAGGCCAACAGAGTCCCTCATATCTGTCAGTGCTGTAGGCAGGAGCATGGGTAAGTGGCCTTGAGAAAGGGGACATATGTTACTATGCTCCCCTGATCCCCCTTTATGCCTGCCCTGTTTTTCACCTGCTCCCCATTTCTCTTGGACACAGAGGTCCAGTGATATGGCCTCCTTCCAGGGAAGGTTCCCTAGCATTATGTCATACTTTTCAGCCTGATTTGTTTGGATTTCTGAATCTCCCTCCCTGAGCTATCTATGATAGATACATAGATGGTTGGATGGATACAAGATATAAGCTGTCTTT